ACCTCATTAATTTTAAAGTCTCTGCTGCAGAGAGGTGAGCTGTTACAGTGTAAATAACTGTTTACCTCTGGGTGGCGCTCTGTTCTTACACTGTCAACACTAGTTTGGAGTTTTTCTTTTTGCTCATGCTCAGCCTGCAAACAAGTTTATTTTTGGAATGACAAAGGTATTCTGAGTTCTGTGGCTGCAAATGAAAAACACGTTTTTCTTCTCTAACAGGATCTACAAGAGAGCTGCTGAACCTGAACCTGGACGCAGGTGTTTTTCTATCATGCCCATGACCTACAATCGTAGCAATGATTACAGCTTTAGAAGAAACGCAGTCTCTCTAGTGGTGGGGTGAGCTGTTAGTAACATGAAATCTTTGATTAAACTGCTTGATGTTGTTGGATATAAACTGCAAACACGTCATTCCCTCAATCACATTTAAACTGTCTCTTTAAAACAAGCCTTTGGTTTGCAAACAGCTGAAAATCTACTTCAGCAAACAGGAAGTGATGCTCGTGCTCATGTTTTCTTCATCAGTCGTGCTGTGCTGGATGTTTGAGGAAGTTAGCGGTAAACTCAGTTAAGCATAAATATATACTTATACTCAAAACTCACCCTGACCATCAGTAATTATTTCTTAAATTACATTCAGTTTGAACCCTAGTTTTCATAGAAAACAACAGTAAGCTGCTGTCAGTCCTTAATACCAAGAAGACAGTTTTCTACCAGGAAATAAAATCACAAGACAGTTTCTAAAGAAATTAAATATCAGCTGTTTATCAAACCGGTTCACTACAGTCAATAATGCACAATCATTGGATTTCTCTATAAACACAAAGGAATCAAAGTTTGTCATAAGAACTGAACATGTTGCCTAAAGACCAAAGAGGAAAAACCATCCCCAGCAATCTTCTCCCCATTTGTCCACCATTAAAATCCACTCCACTAAATAAAAATGAAATAATCATGTTGCCTGTTGGATATCCGTTCTACTTAATGAACTGTTCAATAGGATTAGTTACCTTTGATGCTTGAACCAATCCAATTATCAGCACCAGAAATTCATTAGTAGTTTCCAATAATACCTTTTTTTCAATTATTGCTTGCCCTGAAATAATAAAGTAAAAGATTTAATTGAAGACACAAGTCCAACGTCGTAGTATACACATTTATTTACACACAACACAACTTTTTTTGCTTTAGGCTTTGACACAAGCAGTCACACATGACAGTAAATTTGTGTGCTTGATTTATGCCTGTGAAGGTTCACAGTCCTCCAGGTCATCGTAGTCGAAGGAGCTCGGAAAGAAAAGCGTCTGGACTTCCTTAAGTTAAGTCCAGAGACTTTTCTTTCCAAGTTCCATTGACTGAATGTTTGATATATACTTTCTCCTCCCTATATTTTGCTCTTTGAGGAAGGAACTTTGAGAAATATGTATGCAACATGGTCGGTCAAAAAACCTCTGGCTCTTACATGATGACCTCTTACATCCAATTGTGTCCAGCACACACATGTTAAGAGGTTTTAAATCAAAAACAACAAAACAAGACTCACTAAGCGGCAAAATCCTGGTTACATTTGTGATGACACCACCTCATGTTAAAACCTGCTCTGGTTGTAAATGCTCCTTTTATTAGGTTACACAGACAGAAAGGGTGTAACACAGATAGTGGAGCAAGTACTATTTACATAAGCTCTCTCTTTCCAAACTAGTAATGTACAAAAATGTAAAATGTAAAAATATTTATC